GTGCGGGCGGGGCGGGCGCGGTGGAAGGGGCAGGGAGGCTGCGGGGACATGGGCCGGGGGGCTGGAGCAGCTCGCCCCAAGGGGTCCGGTGTCATTGCTTTGGTTCCCCGGAGCGGGGTGAGGGGCAGCCCCCGGTTTGGGTTACTCAGACAGGTTGTGGAGTCTCCCCCTGGCCGGGATGATCTAGTCGGGATGGTCCTGCTTTGAGCAGGTGGTTGCACTAGACAACCTCCTGAGGTCCCTTGCAACCCTCGTTTTCTAGGAGAAAAACTCTCCAGTTCCATTCATCTCTACCCATTTATGTTCCCCGGAGCGGGGTGAGGGGCAGCCCCCGGTTTGGGTTACTCAGACAGGTTGTGGAGTCTCCCCCTGGCCGGGATGATCTAGTCGGGATGGTCCTGCTTTGAGCAGGTGGTTGCACTAGACAACCTCCTGAGGTCCCTTGCAACCCTCGTTTTCTAGGAGAAAAACTCTCCAGTTCCATTCATCTCTACCCATTTATAACATTGCATTCTGCAGCAATAACTGGCTAGGTAAACCTTGGGCTGGGATGAGCTAGTTGGCAATGGTCCCCCTCCTGAGTAGGGGGTTGCACTAGATGATTTGCTGAAGTCCCTGCCAACCCTCACTTTCTATAATTAATGGAACTGGAGAGTTTTTATATCTGCTCATTTACAAAACTGCATCCTGTAGTGATATAGCTGGGTAGATAAACCTTTGGCTGGGATGAGCAAGTTGGGGCTTTGAGCAGGGGGTTGCACTAGATGACTTCCTGAGGTCCCTGCCAACAGTTTCCATGATTAATGGAATTGGAGAGTTTTTATATCTGCCCACTTACAAAATTGCATCCTGTAGCAATAACTGGCTACATAAACCTTTGGCTGGGATGAACTAGTTGGGGATGGCCCTGCTTTGAGCAGGGGGTTGCACTAGACAACCTCCTGACGTCTCTTCCAACCCTCATTTTCTAGGATCCTATGATTCTTCCCCCCATTTAGCACTGCTGAGGCCACTTATGCAGCCCTGTGGCCAGTTTTAGGCCCCCCACTACAGAAAGGATGCAGACACTTTGGAGAGAGTCCAGCTCAGGGCAACAAAAATGGTTTCAGGGGACTGGGGCACATGATTTATGAGGAGAGGTGGAGGGAATTGGGTTTATTTAGTCTGGAGTAGAAAAGATTGACAGCAGCCTTGAATTACAGGCAGGGTGGTTCCAAAGTGGATGGAGCCGGACTGTTCTTAGTGGTGGTAGATGACAGAACAAAGAGCAGTAGTGTCAAGTTGTAGTAAGGGAAGTTTAGGTTAGATATTAGAAAGACTTTTCTCACTAGGAGAGTAGTAAAACACTGGAACAGATTACCCAGAGAGGTTGTGGACTCTCCATCCTTGGAGGTTTTTAATACCCGGCTAGACAAAGCCTTGGCTGGGATGATCTAGTTGGGGATGAATCTGCTTTGAGCAGGGGACTGGATGTGATGATCTCCTGCGGTCCTTCCAATCTTCATTTTCTATGATCCTATGACAGAGGAGTGATGGAGCTTGCTACAGGGCTTGGTTCCACAAGGAGCACCTCTTTGATCCAAGGAGCGCACCTTTATGCAAGGGGTGAGTCATCCAGCCATCCTAGCCCAAGTGTAGAGATGACGTTCCACAAACGACACACCAGGCTAGGATGGCAGAGGGCGATCGCTTTCATTGCACCAGCCCTTGTTGGGATGGAGTTAGGCCAGTTGTCTACCTTTATCCCAGTTCTACAGTTGGTCAAGTAGAAAGGCAACACCCTAAGAAATCCCTGCCCTTTGCACAGGAGTGATCTGTAAATATGTGAGGTTCCCTGTTTGTGTAAGTGGCAGCCAGAAACAATGTGCGCTGTTTTATATTCAGGAGCATGCAAATCTTCTGTCTTGGCTGGGCAGAATCCTTCAGCATCTGTTGTACCTGCATTGCGGTGGAGGTGTGACCTTTACAGCTGAGTTCTGAAGGGTGTTTTTTGAAGTAGGTGCTGAAAAACAGCAGAATTTTCTTTGCTGTCTGTAAAATTGCTGTACAATCTGCTATCTTAACAGCATTTCATAGAAGCAATGCTGGCTGCCGTGGTTCCCCAGCTTTACCTGTTGCAGGTGAGCGTGTTAGGTCTCTGTTGTGTCAAGGTTGACAGTAGTCCTCTATAGAGTTCAGATGATGGATTGTATAGGATGGTTTGGAGAGCAATAATCCCGCCTCAGGTAGGAGGTTAGACTAGATGACCTCTGGAGGTCCCTTCCAGCCTACTTCTTGTCTCGGACGGCCAGAGCCGACTCTAGGTGATTTAGAAATTACTCGTTCGTTGGGCGGGCTGGTGAATGGAGAGGCAGACAAAACGTAATGGTTGCAAAAAACTTTACTTACGCCGCTTGTAGCCGTGACGCAGATGTTCCGGTCATCTGAACAACTATGTGAGTTGTTCCAGCTGGCGAGGCCCAAGCCAGTCAATCCATCCACAAATTAAGCCAGCGGGGAAAGGGTACGTCGAGGATTGCGCTCAGCGACGGGGAGAAGAATCGATAGGTGATCAGTCTATCGATCAGCTCAGCCGCAAGTCAGATCTCTCTAGAGGCACTCTGCAGCATGCTCAAAGTTCTCCGACTTGGGCGGAAGTCGCACGAAATTTTAAACAGCTAGCAAGTCAATTACTAGCCGCCACGTAGGAATAATTTAGAACTGGCCAATAGCGGGACACAAATTTGCATTCAAATGGCGGGAACTCTCTTGCACCGGGGTTTTTCTGTTGCAACAAAACCCTTTTGCTTTGCAAGAGGCTCTCATGTGGCGGGAAAATTCCATCGTGCCGAGGCACCAGAATCACTGGGTTGTGACACTTCTCTGATAAAATTGCTCTAAACAGTCATTGTGACCCCAGAGTTAATTTTAGCATGGCCCAAAGCATTTTCTGTCTGCAAGGTAAAACATTTCCATCAGTATTTAGGGCAAATTCTACTGTGAGGGCTGTGGTACCCAACTTCCACTGGAATTGGTAGGATCTGGATGTGTGAATCCGAGGGCAAAAGTTAACCTGTAGCAGAGAATGGTTTGGCCCCACATATCCCTGTACTGTGAGCGTTTTCAGTTTAGGGGTTTGTGACAGGCCCATGTCTAACCCAAATAAATTAGGATATGATCTATAGGTTCTATAGGTTGTGTTCTGTAGGCTCACACAAACATGTGTGAGGACGGGATTGCAGGGCCTAACTGTTCTCATGAAGCAAATTACTAAACGCCTAATCAGCAAACAGTTTCTTCAAAAAAAGGGAGATGCTTTAAAAAATACCATCAAATACCCTCTTTCGAGAGAGGATGAGCAGTGGGGATGGGGAATAGGCCAGGAAGGAACAAGCCTGAGCTTGCAGGTATCTGCTTATCGCCTCACACCCTGCTTATCTCTTCACACAATTCTCAGATTATGAGCACGCTCCAGCTCAGAACCACAGTCAGTGAACGGAAGTTGCCCTACAATTATTGCTCCTGCCTGTTGTTGCACTGAGAGCCAGGACTCAAAGCAGGGATACAGTCTCTTCTGTGCTCTCAGCCACCTGCTGCTGGCAAGGTGAGGGATGAATAGGGTTTGGAATGGTCAAGGAGACAGGGAAAAGTGCCTAGGGGGAAGAAACATAGGTGGAAGGTACTGGGACAAGATCTTGGTGGGGAGTGGCAGAGACAAGATTGGGATAAATTGGAAGTTATGCTTCCTCTAGAGCATGCTTCCTTCCAGAATCTGGATTGAAACTTCAGACTCTGGATGGAGTCTCAGCATTGCTCTGCTGCCAGCAAAAATCTGCCAGTGGTTTTCACAGAATACACATCTGTCCTGCACTAACAGCTGGTCAAAATAGAGGGTGACAACCTAATATTACTATACGTTAGTCCATTAGCTCAAGAGACAAGGAATTTTGTGCCAGCAGCTTAGGTAGGCCTCTACCACAGTTAATTCAGGGTAGAGTTCACAGGTTGCTATGGTAAAACACAGTGAAAATATACCTATGGATCTAAAAGTGCCTATTACGCTGACCAGCCATATAGGTATTGTTATGATCCCACATGATGGAGCTTAGTTTTTCTGTGAACTTTTCTAGACCCACACGCAACATCAAAAAAAAACTTTTATAATTGTAAAATCAAGCCTTCAGAAGCTAGGAAATGAATACCTGTGAAACTTGACAAATCACTTGGATCATCTTACTTTCATAGCTGGGCCCTAATTGTGTTCTCATGTCCTATCCTCAGAACTTGAGATGCTGGCCACTGATATGCAGACTGATATACCTGCAGCTGAAATCAGTGGAAGCTGCTCTCTGAATACTAGATAATACCAAGTACTCTGAAAATTTGTCCATAGGTACCTCAAATTATGGACCCCAGATTAATGGACATGTTCATGGCCTTGATTCTCCAATTGTCAAATGACGATTATAATACAGCTTCACTTTGCAGGGGGGTTGTAAAAATAAATTAATTAATGTGTGTGAAGAGCTCAGTTACTATGGTGATGAGTGCCATGGAAAATGGTGTGAGGAAATATTTCTGTATTCAGAGCAGGGTTTCATCAGTGTGCAGTAAAGAAAAAAAAAGGTTAGGGCCACACATTGAACAGTGAAGATGAAACTTGAAGGCTGCTCAGTCAGTGGGCACCACCCCAACTGTACAGTGAATGAAGCCAGGATTCTGTGGAAGCAAGCTGGCAAATAAAGCAAGTTATACTGAGAAAATACCTAGAACTCGCCATATCACTCCTGCCGGTGGGAAACTAAGCTATAGTACCCCATAATTTGTTAGTGCTTGGCAGTGGAGTGACAGCATTCAATTTCTTGTGTCACAGTCTCAAAAATATTACTTGACAAGCAGTAATTGTGCCTTCCTATACATCAGTTTTCATTAAAAGCAAACGTGTGTCTATCTGCATACATGTATAAAACATGTTTAAAATGAGAGAAAAAGAATCCTGAGGCAACCATCATCAAATTATTTTTATGAAAGGTCAGATGTTACACATTACAATTACAAGTGTCAATTTTAGAACCCATAAAATGAGTGTACAGGCAGTCCTCAGACTTACGACACAATTGGTTTCTGAAAACTGCGTCTTAAGTCGAAATGCTGTAACTCGGAACTGATTTTGCCATAGGAAACAATGTTATGAATGGGGGATTGGTTCCTAAGCAAAGGTCTGATACCCTATTTTCACCAAAAATAACCCAGAATTTTGTACTCAGTGAATTACAGATGGGTAATATAGCTACATTAATGTATTTATATTGTAAATAGCAATCATATTGATTTGGAAGGACTTCCTTGAGGTGACTTTGCTGGATGTTTTGAAGGGCTCTTGGTTGGACTTTTTGAAGGGCTCTTGGCTGGAGTCTTCTCAGGAGTCTTGGCTGCAGGTTTTTCTGGAGTCTTTTCAGCTTTCTTTAAGAAAGCGTCCAAGGAAGTTTGGACAGATGTTCTCCAAGGAGAGAGGTGATGCAGCGAACTTATTCGCTGGTGTGGTATGGCGTCAGATCAAGCATTGTAAAGTCGAAACTGATATCAAAATTGAAACAGGGTGTCAATTTATAAATGTTGTAAGTATGAAACATTGTAACTTGAAACATTGTAAGTTGAGACTGCCTGTACTGTGTTGCTGGAGAGTTGAATATTATAGAGAGCAGCTAACAGTGGTTAGCTGACCAGGCTCCCTGCCATAGGGATGCACCATGCCCAGCTGGGGCTGGGAGTCCTGCAACTGAGGGGACTCTCAGCCCCAGCAGCTGCCTGCCTAACTGGGGTCTTGGCAGTGCTCCATGGCTGTTGGGACCCAGAGTCAGGGGCACTGGGTCCTGACAGTGCACCTCCTGGTATCAAGACCAGCTGGGTCTTGGGGATGTGTAAAGCTCCCTTGGCAGGGAGATCACACCATCTGGGGCACATGTGGCATGGCAGGAAGTGCAACCCGAGTGGATTGCACATTAGATCCTATTATACCTTTATCTGCATGTATAGAGGGGCCCTTAGACTTCACACTATTTGTCAGCTCTGTCCATTAAATAGTTAAGAAGTGGGATTTCTTATGTATTTTATCTTTGTTATTTTCTTCTTTTAATTTTTGTTGGATTTTTAACATTTATTTTGGGATTCTTTCCTTCCAGAGAAGTGTGCAGATAACAGTGGGCATTACTTTAACTGTGATCACTACTTTTACAGATATCAAACATTTTTTTCTTCATTTTAAGTCTGACATTGGAGAATGTCACACAATTGCATGTATAGAAGTAATGTTGAACATCCTATGACATGATGATAAAATTTATCCTAAACCTAAAACTTGTATTTTTAAAAATATATTCAAAAAGCATAAACCATACCCCTAAGAGACAAACTAGACCCCCCCTGTTTTTCTGGTAAATAAAAATATTGTTATATTGTCTTGGATAGCTAAATAGTATGGTCTGGAGTATTTCTTAATAGGTAGTCACAAGCAGAATCTTTCTTTACTTCAAGATTTTTACCTAGGACAATAAAGTTTACTGTAGGTGAGCAAACACAATGTTGTAAACAAGCCAACATACCCTGCCATGAGCCTAATAAATGTTAAACTTCAGAGTCTGGATTTGAGTATACAAGGCATGTAAACTTGCTGTTATTCCATGAGGGATCATTTACCTTCTTGTTACCTTTATTTTCATATTACCAGGGTAGTCTTCCACTGCAGGATCCAGTGATTCCATTGAAATTATAGAGGGTTTCTTAGGTCCTGTGGGACGACTTGTAGGTTCCCCAGTTTCCCATTTGATACCAACTGCTTTCTCTACTTGGAGTTAAGAGCTTGCTGTGACTGAAACTAATTCTTTCCTTCTGCCAGAGCTCATGGGGAAGGTCTTCTAGCTTACTCTGGTCAACGATGCTAATGCATAAGGTTCAATCACCTACACAAATGCCAGCCTAATCCTACCATAGGCTTGTTCTGTGTTGGAAATCATAAAAGTCCTTAAATATGTTAGGCCCTGATCCTTCAAACACTTGCATCCTAAAACTTGAACATGAGCGTGAGCAGTTCAAGTGATTTCAAAATAATGTGAAGCAACCATGTAAGTATTTCCAGGATGCAGATCTTAACATGTAAGAGCCTCTGATGTTTTGCTTAATGCATTTTACATTTAAATCTTGGGTCACTGTCTTTATACAGTAATTAAAATGCATTTTCTTTTCTTTAGTCCTTTGCTTGAGGTATACCTTTATTTTAATCCTTTATTTTACTGCTTTATCTGTATGTGAGACTAGCAGTTTTTACATCTGTTATTTTTAATATGCAGTTTAGTTCTGCAAGAACCAAATCATGTCCTCAGATGTCTGTTTGTTTCTTCTGTATGTCAGAGGGAGTTATGCCTGCCTATCTAAGATGTAACTTTGCTGTAAATGAAGATTTAAACCCTGCTTTTAAACTATAACACTTGTATTTCATTGCTATTTAAAAAAAATTATAGTGTATTATACCTATTAGTCATTGCAGAATATGCAATTTGTAAAAAAGCTTTAATTATGCTTAATTAAGTCTTCTCTTTCATTGAAAGCTTGCAATGTCATCATCGTCATCATCTTCAGCTTCACCATCACCACCCCCAAGAAGACCTGGTAGACCCACTATCTATTCCCCTTCGGAAAAGAAGAGGAGGAGAAAGAGTCTGGAGAGGAAAAGGGCTCAGTCAAGGATATGTATAAGAGAACAAATAGGAAGATGGATGTCCCTTAGAGAAACACTTAATGTCTTCTCGCATGCTGAAGTTGCCAAGTTTTTATTGGACTTGTAAGTAAACGAAGTCTATATATCTGAAAGAAAATGCAACTTCCGTTTTGGTTGGTGTCATTATGAGATTTTGATCTTATTTTGTAATACAGATATGACAGTTATGAAAACAGAGATGTTGTATGTAAGGAATCTGAAGTCAAAATACAGAAAGTGGATAGAAACTCAACATTAAATGCAGAAAAGGATGTTCCACAGACCTCTTCAACATCAGCTACTGAAAGGTGACTTAATTTTTTTTTAATGTGTTTTCTCTGTGGTTGTTCTGTGAAATAGCATAAAAAGTCAATAAAATACCATTTTCAACTACCATTACATTTTAAATTTTAATGGTTTTTATTAGCACTTGTTTTGAATATGTGCTCACACTTGTTGTTTTCTTTGAGTTAGCTTGGATCAGGGGTGTCAAAACCCCCTTGTCTCTCATGGTCCAAATCCAGCCCCAGGGGCCGAACTGGTTTGACACCCCTGCTCTAGAACAGTGGTTCTCGACCTTTTTTGTACCAGGATCTATTTGTAAACAGATAGATTTGGCCAGTCCAATCCAGTCGATAGTTTAAGTAGAAAACAGCCCCCTGGCCCTGCTGGTGCTCCTCGCTCTCAACCCTGCCCCTCACTCCCAACTCACAGTCCCCTAACCCCCCAGCCTTGCCGGTGCCCCTTGCCCCAGCCCCTGCAACATGGGGGGGCATGTCCCCCCGCCAGATTTGTGCCCCACAGTGGACATGAGGCTGCAGACTGGCTGTACCGGCATGGGCAGGAAGTGCCTCTGCAACTCAGCGGGCAGGACTCGGTGCAGGAGGGCAGAGTGGAGCAGCAAGACTCATTGCTGCCACTGCCACTGGAACCCCCACACCAGCCATGCCACCAGCATCACGAGGAGTAACAGACTGGGGGGATGGAAGGGCCATGCTGCCCTCACCTTCTCCCATCACCAGCCCCTCATGAACCAGACTGCGGTTCTACCCCACTGCCCTGGCTCAGCCGCCGCCAGCTCTCCCGTCAGGCCACGGCTCTACCCCATAGCAGATGGAGGGGCGGGCAGTGTCACCTGTGCCCTCCTGCTACTGTGACATGTTGTTTTTGCCCCCTCCCCCACTCCGTCCCAACCCATAGACTTCCCTGTAGGGAGCTACGGGACTGCTTTCCACACTGCCTGGCTGCCATGTGCATGATCACATGCACGTGATGTTCCCTGCTTGATCACCCTCCTCCTGCTCCCCACCAGCCCCAAGCAGCCCCTTGCAGGCTGGAACTCTGCAGCCTGCAAGGGGGAACCTGTGGTTTCCTACATTTTTCTCTTTTAAAGGAGAATCTATTTTTAAAGTTTGTTGATACATTTTTTTTTTTTTAAGTTTGTTCATGACCCTTCCATGTATTCTTGCAACCCACTTTTGGGTGGCAAGCCACAGGTTGAGAAATGCTATGCTGGACTATGCTGCCTCCTGCTTCATTGTGGGCCAGCTCTATCTTGATTTGTGTGAGTTGTTCATATTAATTGCAGGAGTGGCTCTTTGAATTTCACTGAAATTTGGGGTACTTAGCATCTCCAAGGTGAAATCCCTACTTGGCTTTCCTGAAGCTAAATTAGGTCTAAAGGGTCATAGCCCCTCTGAAGATGTGCACCATTACATAAATCAGGGGCAGGCAATTATTTTGGACAGAGGGCTGCTTACCCAGTTTTAGCAGGCTGTTGAGGGCCACATGGGTTGCCCCATCCCTTGACAGGTGCCCCACCCACGGTCACCATCTTGGGACCAATGTTCCAGTGTCTTGGGACCAGTGTCCCAGGGCCAGCACTGGTGGGGCCCAAAGCACGGTGCAGGCTGGCAGGGGTCCGTGGAGCTGGGCTGGGCTACACCTGCAGGGAGAGGGGGGAGCTGGCCCAGGTCCATAGAGCCACCCTGTTCTGGGCCACCCTGTTCTGGGCCCTGCTGGCACTGACCCCAGGGCACCAGTGTGGGCCCCGTGCTCCCACTGGTTCCCTGTCCACTCGCTCCCAGTGCCCCCTAGCCCCGTGGTACAGGTGGGGGGCAGGTGCACAGCCCCGACCCCCTGCTTGCCAGCAGGGAAGAAGCTGGTGCTGAGCATGGGGAAAAGTGGCCCCTCGCCCGCCCCATGGCAGAAGCTCCCAGCCTGTGCGGGGCTGTCTGGAGCAGGCACAGGCAGCCCCATGTGGGCTGTGCGTGGCTGCAGTGCGGGGCACCGGCCACACAGCAAGCGCGGAGCTGCTCTTTCCCACACTCAGCACCAGCTTGTAACCTGACCCTGCTGCCCACCTGGCAGTGGGGCCGGGTTACAAGGTGGTGCTGAGCATGGGGTGGGGAAGAAGCAGCCCCTCGCCCACCCCATG